CAATGCTTGTGTGAACTGCAGCGCGGGTGTATACCACAGCGGAAATGTGCACCGCAGCAACCATGTGCAACACAGCGCCTTGCGTGCACCGCAGCACCTGTGCACACCATAGCGCCTGTGTACATCACAGCACCCGCGTGCAACCCAGCGCTGGTGTACACAACGGCACGTGCGTGCACAGGACAGGTAGAAGAAGCACGCATTAGAAAACAAGGCGCCACCCGGCAGGCAAGTAGGATGCACACTCCTCCTCACGCCGACGATCTGACATCACTGCCGCGAGTCAGCTATGCACAGGGCGCATCCACACGAACTGAACTGCACCTATCGGAAGGCTGGCAGCGATATAGGGAGACCCGAACCAGCCCGCGTCCAGGATGGACTGCTCAGGGACCGCGTCAGGGCGCGTCGTCTGTGGGAGCGCGCCAATGCAAGAAACAGCGAGCATGTAATCCGAGCGGCAAGTGCGCTGGGCGAAAAAATGCGTGCAAGTAGGGGCCGTGGCATCTAAGGCGCACACCCACGCATACACACATCCAAGAGGGCCCACGCCTATCAGCATCGGAGCCGCGACGCAAGCGGACCTCGTCAGCTTTGTGGTTTGTTGGCAGGCGTTCCGCACGAGCCTCGTGCCGATTTCGTGTTGGGATCCGCGAGCGGAGGACGCACAGCGGCAAGCGCACGAGCGACTTAGCATGCAAGAACACGCGTTAGGACATGTTCGACGTCTGCCGCGTCCAGGGAGGCTGCAAGGTGAAGCACGAGACGCTGAAGGCCCCTCCAATGCCCCATATCTTGCCAAAACTTCCGTGTTCCCACCACATGCCGATCACGGCATCCCGAGCGTGATGAAACCCAGCTGGCATTTGCCAAGATAACACGCGTGCGCGATGACCCTTACGCTCAGACAGGCTGCGATGCAGTCCACTCGCTGCGTGCTCAGAACTCCAGTCGCTGCGAGGTGAGAGGCTCGCATGTGAACTGGGGCGCACCAGAAGCTGCGCTGTAATCCACTCGGGGGCTGTAGAGCATCTACCCGGCAGGAGAGACATTGCCATGCGCTGGCGGGCGTACGGTGCGCGGATGGGGCATGCTACAATGTTGGCTTCAGAAGCCACTCCGCTTCATCCGCCACCACACGATTCCTCCTGCCGTTCCTCGTCACAACCTCTTCCTCAACATCCATCCCTTCCTGCGTGTCGCACCTCCAGGCGTGTCGGCAGGGCGGGCTGGGCGTTTCGCCGGAGCCTCCCTCACCATTGACGATCCTGAAGCTTCAAATGTGCAAGAGCTTGAAGGATGGTGGGCGGGTCGTTTTCGGAATGCGGCTCTGGCCTGAGCGGCGCGTACACTCGCCTTAGACATATGGGACAGCTTAAGGACGAAGAGCGGGCGGCTTTCAAAATGTGGCTCTCTCCTTAGCGCCGCGCGAATGTGTGTTTATCGTGTGCACCAGCGTCAGGGATGGAAGGCGGCTGGCTTTCAAACTGTTCATTCGTATGGTTGAAAGATCAGGGATATCGTTTTGGTGCGATTTGGGATGTCCAAGATACGGTTACAACGTTTGTTCGCGCCAGGAAGACGTCCTAGCATGACTTAAGACTGCCAAGACGCACACATTACTTCTCATTCGCAGCGCTGAGGTCCAACAAGTAGTGTTCAGGCACGGTCGAGGAATCTCACACGGTTGAATGCCACTGGGGCACTTCCCGCAGTGGGGAAAATATAGTGGGGACATGTGAAAAGGGAGGGACCTCGGAGGGAGGGTTTGTTGCAACATCGATGATGCGCCTTACCATCTGTTGTTTCCTCGTCCACCTTCGTCGTCCTTCGTCCTCCTCCCACGCCTCGTGGCCTCTCCTCCGAGCCTTCCTCTTCATGTCCTTTCTCCCTCTCCCTCTGACCTACCCTCCAGCGCGCGCCAGCGCCGACGAGTGGGGAGGAGGGGGGGAAGCAGGAGAGGCGCAGTGGTGGTGGTGGGGGATAAGAAGATACTGCAGAGGGCAAGGAAGCGGGAGGCCGCCTCCTCCTCCTCCTCCTCCTCCTCCTCCTCCTCCTGCCGTGCGAGGCCAATTTTCATACACCAATGAAGTATCGCAAAAATGGTTAGGGGAAGGGTCATGCCAGACGAAGCTGCGACGACGCGGCGAAAAGAAGCGCGGCGCAGCGCGCAGGCGCCGTGGTATGGGGGGCTCCTGAAGCAGAAACAAGACTTCTTGGTGGTGGTGGTGAAAAATCGCTCCTCCTCCTAACCAACATTATATACAACACCATCGCGCGTGCTTTGATGAATCCTGTCTCGGCCCTTAAGAGAGAGGGGGGCAGCCAGCTTGCCGTTGGCGGCCAGCGGTGGGGTGCGGGTTTTTCACCACAACCAAAATGCGCCAAATCGTATCGTAGATGATTCCCGATCTTGGTGGTGGTGGTAGTCATATGTTGTGCTCGGGTGCCGATCCTTTCGAACCTTGTGCAACCGAGTCCCTCCAGACAAAACAGCAGGGCGGCGGGCGACGAACGAGCGCCGCGAAAAACAAAGGGCCGAGCCTGAACAGGTGAGCCAACGCACATCCGCTATGGCCCCGAGCGGAGTCGGAGAGGGAAGAACCTTCCCACGAAGGATTTGATGGATGGTTCCTTCCCCGCCATCTGTCGCTTCAAGGTCTGCGGAGCTGGCTCGTTGGGGGCCCACCAGGACACGCCCCCTCAACAGACGCAGCCGCACAGTCCCAAAGGCAGCACATCCAACACCAGATCGAGCGTCCACCTGTGATCCAGGGCTTGTGCCTTGGGTGGGCCTGCCTGGCCAACCTCGGGACGCCTCTGCACAGCAGAGCACACACAGCGGACTCAGACAACCCCGAGGAGGGACGCCACCGCCGTCGTCGCCATGGTCGTCGTCGCCGCCGCCGTCGTCGCCGGGGTCGTTCTGGCCGCAGCCGTCGTCGCCGGAGTCGTCGTCGCCGCAGTCGACTTCCCTGCGGGGGGGGCCCGCAACGTGCGTGTCCTGCTGCTGCAGCACCAGCGCGAGGAGGCGGCACCGGCGGTCGCTCGAGAGCCCTGTCCGCGGGGCCAACGTCCGCCGCAACCGCCGTCAGGTGGGTCCCTCCACCTCCACTCCCTCGTAGCTACTTCCCCAAACCTCCCGTCCTCCTCCTCCTCCTCCTCCTCCTCCTCCTCCTCCTCCAACCTCTACTTCCCCTCCTCCTCTTCCTCATCCCATCCTCCTCCTCCTCCTCCTCCTCCTGCTCCTCCTCTTCCTCGTCCTATCCTCCTTCACTCCCCCTCCTGCTCCTGCTCATCCATCGTCCGTCCTCACTCTCTCTTTCACACCCACCCTCCCTCCTCCGCATCACCCTCTCCTTCCCCTCTCACCTCTCCTCTCTTGCTCCGCCAACCCATTGCTTCTCCTCTTCCTCCTCCTCCTCCTCCTCCTCCTCCTCCTCCTCCTGCTCCATCTTCCCTTCTCCCGCCCGCCTTTCCTGCTCCTGCCTCGTCCTTCCCTCACCCCTTCCTCACTTCCATCCTCCTATCTCTCGTCCGTACCTCTTCTTCCTCCTCCTCAAATCGCACCACCAGGACGTGTTGGCAGGGTTGGCTGGGCGTTTTCGCCACAGACAGCCTTAGCACGCCTTACGACGCCGACGATTGAACTTCTCAAAGGCTCCACCGATGCAGAGCGGGTCGTTTTCACATGTGGCTCTCGCCTGAGCGTGCGCATCTGAATTTCAAAAGCTTTCGACACCTACCGGGGTGGTGGGCGGGTCGTTGCCAACGTGCGATCTTCGTCTGAGCGCCGCGAGCAATCGCTTCACAGAGGGAAGCCGCAACAAGGAGGAAGATCGGCCCCCCGTGCTCGAGAGGGGGCGCCGAGGCCAATGCCAGTCCCCCGAGAACCAGAGCCGCCGCTGCCTGACATTTTCCGACGGGGCCGGACGTGTTTAGGGTCGGCGCCTGGCGGCGTCGACGAGAACTGCCAGAGCACGTTGGCGGGGCGCAAGTGGGGAGGGCGCCCGCCGCAGACCCGCGCGGACCCCGGCCTGGCCGATCCCGTGGGCCCCCGATCGGCGCGTGCGCCCGCTTGCTGTGGCCAGGGGGGCCCGTGCACCCTGCAGGGTCGGCCTGGAGAGGACCCGTGCAGGCGTGCAGTTGACGCCCTCCGGGAAGGGGGCGGGGCGAGGGCGGGGCCTGCGAGGATGCAGGCAGGGGGCCTCCTCGGAGCGCTCGAAGGCGGGGGGGCATCTGAGGAGCCCCCTGCCTGCTTAGAAGGCCGCCCCCCTCGCCCCGCACACGGTCGCGCGCCGCCACGACAGAGAGCAGAGGAGATGGCGGGAGGGTGGAAGAGCGTAGCACTTCGGACGTCCGCAGACGGTTCCTCGGCCAGCGCTGGGCCGCCTCACCGCAGCCTTTCCTGGCCCGAGAAGGGCGCGGTGGGGGCGGCGAAGAGGGCACCGCCCGGTGGGCGAGGAAGGGGGTCCTGCGCCGGCAGAAGAAACTGTCCAACAATCATGTGCGCTCGGGCATCAACTCTGCACGTCGGCGCCGATCTCACGGGGGGTGAGAGAGGGGAACGTGCGCGTTTGGGGCCCCGTCCAGGACCCCAAACCTTGCCGGAATCGGAACGATCCCTCGACAAGCCGACCGCAGCATCTCAACTAGATGTAAATCGGCCAAACTGTCGGCCCACGCCCGTATGTACCTGATGTTCCGCCCTCCCGGAAAACATGACGGTCCGCGGAGAACTCATGCATCTTCACGCTTTAAAGACTTCACGCGCAAACGCGGGGGCGTATCTTACACTGCAGGCCGGCCACAGAGAGAGCCGCAACAGCCAGCGCTCACTCCTCGAAGCTCGAGCACAGCAACTGTGCACTTCAGCCAGATTTCAGCCGGAAGGCTTGGAGGAGGAACGCGAAGCAACTTGCGAATGTGTGGCGCCCAGCGGCCTAGAAGGTTCCTACCTGCGGAGGGGGTGGGGCGACGAGCCCTGCATCTTGGGAAGCTCAGGCGGCCTGAAGCATCTGCACCTTGGTGGCGGCGCTCGAGAGCAGGCAGGGCGAGAGAGGGGGCAGCCTTCCGAGCAGGTCCCGCTCGGGAGAGTTTGAGCGGCGCACGCGAGGCTTTCAGACGGGAGTTTCCTATACAGCAGAACCCTACACGTCGTTCATGTCTAATCGTGATCATTTCTAATTGCGCTCGTTTCTAATTGTTCTTGGCCCCCTGGCGGCCAGGAAGAGGCCCAGGACAGAACAATTAGAAATGAAAGGATCTTGGCCCCCCAAAAAATCAAAGAACTTTCGAATCATTAGACATGAACCATGTGCACCTTCTCAGAAAGCCGTCCCCCCCGCCTCAAGTTGCACCCCCTTGGCGCGCCGCCAAACCTTGTCGAGCTTCGCGATCAGATCCCGGAGCTCCGACATGAGCCGCTGGTTCTCCCTGCTCTGGGTCAGCAGCTCGCTCTTCAGCTGCACCTCCGCCTGGCTGACCTCGGCCGCCACGCCCGCGGCGATGATCCTGCCCTCGAGGGCCGGCGGCACGCCGCCCTCGCGCAGCTGCATCTCGAACCGCTCCTGGCGCATCTGCAGCTTCGCCTGGAGATCCTTCTGCTTCGCGTGGGCTTCCGCCAGCTGCTGCGCCAGCAGCTGCTTCTCCCCCGCCCCCCGCGCGGTCTTCTCCTCGAGCTTCTTGTTCTGGTCGCTCTGGGCCAGGATGCGCTTCACGAGGCGATCCCGCTCCGTTGTCATGTCCTTGACGTTCTGGGTGAGGTACCCGGTCTCGCCTTCCAAGGCTGCCACCTGGCCCTCCAGCTGGACCTTCTCGCCCTCCTTGAGGAAGATGTCCTCCTCCAGCTGCCCCTTCTTGTAGTTGGCCTCGGACACCTTGTCGGTCAGCCTGCCGACCTCCTTGGATATCATGGCGCGCATCTCCAGGCCCTGCTTCACAGCCTGCTCCGCCGCAGACTGCTTCGACTGCAGCTCGCTGTTCTCAATCCTGCCTGCCTCCAGCTTGGTCTGCAGGCCAGCGTTCTGGCCCTTCAGGGTCGAGATCCGATCCTCCAGCAGGGAAACAGTGTTGTCGCGCGAAGATACCTGATCCAGCAGGTCCTCCTTGTACTTCCCAGCCTCCACCACCTTCTCCGTCAGCTTCGCCACCTCGCCAACGACTACCTTGCGCTGGCCCTTGAGGTTCGTGATCTGCCCTGACACGGTCTTGATTTCATTCTCGTAGTTGGCCACCATGGCTTGGGAGTCCTTGAGTTCCTGCACAAGCCCAGCCTTGACTCCAGCAAGGCCGTGGATCGACTCGTTGAGCTGCGCCTCCTCGGCCTCCGATGCGGCGATCTGTTCGCGCAGCGCCGCCTTCTCGACGTTGTTCGTGACAACCTTCTGAGTAATCGAGGCGACCTCCTTGGCGATCAGTTTGCGCTGCTCCATCAGGAGCGCAATCTCATCCTCGATGTCCGCCTTCTTTTTCTCGAGGTTTCCAGCGGTCGCCTTCTGAGCCCCAAGCTTGCCTTCAAGGGACGCCTTATCACCCTCGAGGCTCTCGACCGTCTTGCCGAACTCGGCGTTCTCGGCGTTGAGCTGAGCGATCTCCGCGTTGAGCCGCTCCTTCTGGCCGTCCAGGTTCACCACCTTCGACGTCAGGTTGGCCACCTCGCCGATGATCACCCTGCGCTGCTCGATGAGGAGGGCGGTCTGGCCCGCGGCTTCGTCGGCCTGCGCCTGCAGCGCGGCGCTCTCCGCCGAGCTGGCGGCGATCTGGCTCGACAGCGACGCTTTGTCCGCCTCCGTGGCGGCCACCTGCCCCTCCAGCTCGGCCTTCTGCGCCTCCGCCTGCGCCCGAGCCTCCTCCATCTCGTCCCTCTCCTGGCGGCGCTGCACCACGATGTCACCGAGGTCCTTGATGTGGTTTACGATGACCGCGCGCTGGTCGAAGATCCGGTTGCGCTCGGCCTCCACCCTCTCCACCTCGCTCTCCAGCTCCTTCTGGCGCCTCGCCGCCTCCACGGTGCGCTGCTCGGCGCCGTCCCGCTGCTGCGTGAGGTCCTCGGCCACCCGGGCCGTTCTGCTGTCCAGCTCCAGGCTGGTCATCTCCAGCTGGTCGCAGGCGTCCGAGTAGGAGTCCTGAACCAGCCCGATCTGGGCCTTTAGCTCCTCCATGTCCTGGCGCAGCTCCGAGTTGATACGCTTCTCCTCCTCGACCTTGGACAGCATCAGTATCTGGAGCTCGCCCATCATGTTTTCGATCGCGGCCGTCTGCTTTTCCTAAGGAGTATCACACACATGTAACGCATAAGCATAAACGTTGTCCACGCGGAAGTCTTCGGACCGGCGCTGGACCCCCGACGTTTGTGCTGGGGGTCCAGCGCCGACCCAAATTGATGGCGAGGACCCTGGAAACTGTCTGTTTATGCCATTAGCTGCCCTGCGACTTCCTGCCGCCTCAGCGACCTCTCCAGGTCTACCTTGTGGACGGCGACGACGACGAGCACCGATCTGTGCCACGAGAACCCTGCGCCCAGGATCAGCGTATACGCTTTCTTGGCATGCCCAGGACAGCGTATACACCGAAATTGGGCCCGCAACCGGCCTGGCAAAGATCGGTGGCGGTGTAAAATGTCTAATTGTCGCCGTCCGGACCTTGCCACCAGAGCTCGGAGGAGCGACGCGGGGCGACTCCGCAATCGCCTTGGCGCGCGTCTCGCTCGGGGTGAAACTGCTCAGCATCCTGTCGAGGGTGCCCTCCCCGAAGAGCGCGTCGATGATGCGGCCCGGCTTCCTTTTCGCAAGAAGACAAGTCAAACATCCAGAATACTGATTCTTCAATACGTGGGTTTGTTTTAGCTTCGGCTTCCGAGGGGTATTATCGGGCCCTGGAACCATCCAAATCCGCTGTTCCATGTGGGTCTCCCCGCTGGGACCCCAATCCGGGAACTTGACCACCCCTCACTGGCCCCGTGCGAGTCATTGACAATGGGGCCCCACTTTCAAGAAGCAAAATCCCGCCTCGGATGTCCACGGGACTTTTGACTGCGGAGCCCCACTATCAGCAGGCGAACTGCAGTTGAATCGTGCAGTTGCAAGCGACCATGGGGCCGCAACCAAATGCACGTCTATGCCTCGGCCGACGAGGCCCCCTTGACAGTGGGGCTTCGCTGCCAAGAAAGAAACGCCCGTGCTCGCCCCGGAAAGCGGCCGGGCTCCTCCTCCTCCTCCTCCTCCTCCTCCTCCTCCTCCTTCTCCTCCCTCCTCCTCCTCCTCCTCCTCCTTCTCCTCCTCCTCCTCCTCCTCCTCTCCTCCTCCTCCTCCTCCTCCTCTCTCCTCTCCTCCTCCTCCTCCTCCTCCTCCTCCTCCTCCTCCTCCTCCTCCTCCTCCTCCTCTCCGACCGTGGCGCCCCACCGTCGGCGAGGGAGCCCCTGTGCCGTCCACCCGCCCCGCGTCGGCAGCGGGGCCCCGCTGTCTATCGAGCACGCTCCCGCCCGTGCTCCACGCCCTCTCACGGCGGCGCCCCGCCGTCAGCGGGGAAAGCTGCGCTGTCCGACGGCCCCGCGTTGACAGCGAGGCCCCGCTGTCCAATGCGCAGTCCCGCCCTGGCCGTCCTGGGCCCTCTGACAGCGACGCCCAAGTCAACAGGGACACCCGCTTCCATTCTTCTTCTGACGATGCTCCACCTCGTTCAAGTTTGAACGACCCTCGCCCCAGAAAGCCACCCCGCACTCTGGAGAGCAGCACGTCAGCGTCTCCGCTTCTGCATCGGCTTTTCCCTTGCGGCTCGCCATTTACGAACTCGTGTTTCGCAAGCGCCAATCCCAGCAACCTCCGTTTGCACCGCTCGCGCTGGTCTCGCGGCATCAACTGCGCCTCGCATCCTTCGCTTTGGGCCCTCTGGACACGCACTGGGCTTTCTGAATGCCCTCGTAGGCCGTCGACGCGCCGTGGAGACGACGTCCTAAACTGTTTGTGTCGCATCATTGGGTCATGCTGGACTGCTCTTTGTGTTCTTTTCGCTTCGTTCAAAAATTTGTACGATGACTTGTTTGCCGTCGTAGGGCCCTCGGCGCAAGAACCGGAAATGCCAGCTCTGGCCGAGAGGTCTAGCAAGCCGAGCAGGTTGACAATTTGGCACGGCGCCACCCCAATTGAGCGCACTGCCCACGAGACGAATACATTGGCAACACTTTGCGATACGTCACATTGGGCAACATCAGCAACAGCGACTGCAATATAGATGACGACAACGACATTTGGAAACGATGCTGACCGACGGCGAAAACAAGGATGACGATGACAACAACGACGATTACAAAATACGAAGGCGCAACAACAACGACGCGCGACGACAACGAAACAAGCACGAATTACGAGAACAACGACAAGGTACGTCGTCGACGACAACAGGAAAGACGTCGATGGCCGCGCCCTAATTTGGACAGGCGCCGTAGTTGAAATAGAGGTTGGCGAATGTGGCATGAAGCGAGAGGAATACACGTCCGGAGGTGACGTGCTGAGCGGCAGCATTTTTCGGCAAACGCCGTAATACAACTTATCGAATGTATCAAACTACTGCAGAATCCCAAACTGTTCGGTCATGAAGTATTATTGTGTCTTCCCGCCTTCCCCCCGCCGCCCCCAGGAAACGCGCCACGTCCGTCGACCAAAGATGGTGGACACTCCCCAGGGGTCAAAAGCGTACAGCACCCTGTAGAAAATCATTGATCTGGGCCCTTTGGGCCTCTGGGGGCCCAAGACGGCCTGGCAACGGCTCGAGATGGCCTCGAGACGGCCCCAAGACGGCCCAACAGGGCCCCAAGAGGGCCCAATAGGCCCCCAAGGCGCTCCAAGGGGGCCCCCAAGAGCTGCCCCAGAGGCCACAACCATGTACGTTTCTAAGGTCCCAAGGGCCGCCAAGACGCTTCCAAGAGGCCCCCAAGAAGCCCCCAAACGCCACGACACCCGCGGAATTGCATTGCTGTGATCATCGGAATTTGAACTTGGCGTTGCCTTGTGCTGGCACGCGGTGAGTGCCCATTGCCCTCGTGGACATTCGCACGCTGGTCCTGGCGCTGGAACGGGGACGGCGCACCGCCCCCCGCAGCACTGGCAGCGCCCCGGGGCGGGCAGAACCACATGGCAGGCCAGCGCGCAGACCAGTCGTGACGGTCCAGGGGCCTGGGAGGGGTCTCGGGAGAGGCGGGGAAGAACAGCGGGAAACACCAGCACCCCTTTCCTACACGACCCGTCAGGCTCAAGCTGGAATATGTGCCTGAACCCCTCCTAGTCCATCCTGACCAGTTTCGGCATCCACCTGTGACGACAAGAAACTCCAACAGCGACGACGCGACGATCGTCTCCTCCGAAGTCGCACTTTGTTCATGACGTGACCCCCACCCAAGGATCCCTTCCAAATCCCGGGTAGCAATCGTTTCTTGACGGCACTGCAGGGAATCGGGAAAGGGTAGCCGATAATGTTGAACCACTTGTCGGCACGATATTTTCTTGTGACGCCTGGATCTAAGAGACGACGTCGTTGCATTGTGCCCCTGCGCATGCCGCGGGGGTCTCTTTGGAGAACCCCAGTGGTCCCCACGGGGATCTCCAGGAACCTCCGGAAGTGCCCAGGGGTTTCCAGGGGCCTCCGTAAGTCGAGTAGAAAACCGTCTACAGAATTGACTTGCCCCAGACTTGATTTTCCGTCAAATCTGCGAAAGATGCGAAATGTGCACCATACGCCCACGGAACATTCTGCGCAGATCCGGCGGAACAGCTGAATTTGGGGCAGCTCGATTCCATAATCGATCCCCGCTCTAAGAAGTCCGAAGACTTCCAGAACGGACCACCACGGAGTCTCAGAAACCCCGAACACCAAACCTAGACGAGCACGGTCCACTACTCGCAAATGGCCAGGATCCGCCGCGGGGATCTACGATACATTGCATCGAAGCAGGCATGTGCTGTTCGGGCGTTTGCGAGTAGGCACTTTGCGAGTAGTGTTAAGTCGAGCCTGTCCCTCTACAGGGGGAATATTCAAAAGTAGTCAACCAATAATTTGGGGACTATGTTATACATATGTTGTGACCATTTTGGAATATGTTTCACATGTTTTTCGTCGAAAATCTCAGTGTAGGGGGACACGCCCGACTTGAGAGTAGTGGAACGCACTCGGCGAGAACACCAAACCTTTCACCGTGGCGACTCCCCGCGGCGCGGCCCCTGCGCTGGCCGCGGTGCAGGCCAAGGGGCCCAGCCTGCCTCGGGGCCCCTCCTCACAGCGACGTTTCGGGGGCAACGCTACAATCGCCGATTGAAACCCACCCAGCGCAAACAACAAGAGGAGGAGGAGGGAGAGGAGGAGGGGGGAGGAGGAGGAGGGGGGAGGAGGAGGAGGGAGTAGGAGGAGGAGGAGAAGGGAGGAGGAGGAGACGACGACGGCGATGCCTGGCGATGCGGCCCCTGCGGTGGCCGCGGCGGCGGGGCGCGGCCAGCGCGGCGGCCACCAGGCCCGCCGCCGACCCAGCGGCCAGCACGCCACACCTTGAAGGGGCCCTGGGACACACACACACACACACACACACACACACATACACATATCTATATATACATATCATACACACAAATCACAGGATTCCCCATATTTTCCTATGTTTTCCTGGGTTCTCGTCTTCCCCCCACGGCCCACATGTTCCCACATCTTCCAGAGGGGATCAACGATTCATTGTGTCTGTGTGTTTTCTCCCCTCCTGAACACCTGCCCCGGGCGGGGCGCGGGGCCGCTTCGTCGTCGGCCTGCTGCGCGCCTGCAGCGGCGGCGGCGCCGCGCAGCGACGCACCCACGGCGCTCGGCGGGGCGAGGCCTGGGGGAGGAGGAGGAGGCGGAGGCGGAGGCGGAGGCGGAGGAGGAGGAGGAGGAGGAGGAGGAGGAGGAGGAGGAGGAGAAGGAGGAGGAGGAGGGGGAGGAGGAGGAGGAGGGGGAGGAGGAGGAGGAGGGGGCTGCGGAGGAGCAGGAGGAGGAGGAGCAGGAGGAGGAGGAGGAAGAAGGCCTCCAACGCACTGAAGCACGCAAGGCGGGAGTTTTGCTTTGTTTTCCACCTCCAGAGGCGCGAGCCTGGGGCGCTGGGACCATCAACAAACGGCTCGGGGGAAAAAATTATGCTAACGGTATTCCCCACATAAAGATATTAACGGTCTCGTGGGACCCATGGGGTACGACAACATCAACACGAAGGAGAAGCTGGAGAGGTGGGGCCTCCTTGGGGAGGTGGGAAGGGCACGAAACCATGTAAATAGTATGGGTTTCCGATACCCTCCTCGCTCAGGCGGGGCCTCCCTGGAGGGATGGGAGGGGCACGAAACCATGTAAATCGGAGGTGAGGGGGTGAGATCGAAGTGGAACGGAAAGCCCCCCTACCGGGAAATCGATTTCGGTTTCGTGTTCGTGCGTGCCGTGCGTGCGGGCGAGGCGAAGCTGCGTGGGCGGGCGAGAAAAAGTCTCCTGTGGCTGAGGCGCGGCCGGACCAAATGTCTCCCTTCCGGGCGGCCGGTGGCCCGCGGTGTCCCGCCGGTGTCCCGCGAAAGTCCCGTGTGGCTGAGGCGCGGCCGGACCAAATGATTCCCTTCCGGGCGGCCGGTGGCCCGCGGTGTCCCGCCGGTGTCCCGCGGTGTCCCGCGGTGTCCCGCGGTGTCCCGCGGTGTCCCGCCGGTGTCCCGCGGTGTCCCGCGAGGATGATGATGATGATGATGATGATGATGATGATGATGATGATAATGATGATGATCATGATAATGATGATGATGATGAGATGATGATGATGGTGCCCCGATGAAGATGATGATGATGTTGATGATGGTGTCGATGATGATGATAGTGTCCCGATGATGAGGATTATGATGCTCATGATGATTATGTTGATGATGCTGACGATGATGGTGTCCCGATGATGATGATGATGATAATGATTCCGATGATGTTGGTGATGATGATGTTGATGGAAATTGTGTTCCAGCGATAATAATGTTGATGATGATGTTGATGATGATTATGGTGTCCCGATGATGATGATGCTGATGATGATGATGGTGATGATGATGATGGTGATGCTGATGGTGTCCCGATGATGATAATAATGGTAATGACGATGTTGATGATGATGTTGATCATGATGGTGATGGTGCCCCAATGATGATGATGATGATGATGATGTTGTTGATGATGATGTCGATGATGATGCGATGATCACGATGATGATGGTGCCCCGAAGATGATGACGATGTTGATGATAATGTTGATGATGAGACCGATGGTGATCATGATGGTGTCTCGATTATGATGGTGATTATGATGATGCTGCTGATGATGATGACGATGACTGTGTCCCGATGATGATGATGATGATGATGTTGATGATGAGATGATGATGGTGATGATGATGATGTTGTCCCGATGATGATGCTGACGTTGATGATGTTTATGATGATGATGATGATGATGATGATGATGATGATGATGATGATGACGGTGCCCTCATGATGATGACGATGTTGGTGATGATGTTGATGTTGGTGATGTTGATGATGATGCCGATGATGATGATGATGATGACGTTGATTGTGAGAGCGATTGTGATATCGATAGTGAGATCGATATTGAGACCGAATGTGAGATCGATTGTGTGATCGATTGTGAGATTGATTGTGAGATCAACTGTGAGATCGATCGAATGAGATAGATCGAGTGAGATCGATTCTGAGATCGATCGAGTGAGATCGATCGAGCGAGACCGATAGTGAGATCGATACTGAGATCGATAGTGAGACCGATCGAGTGAGACGTTGTTTCCCCCTCCGAACCTCCTTATCACCCGAAGGGTGGTCGTATAGGTATTATTGGTTTCCGATACCCTCCTCGCTCAGACGGGGCCTCCCTGGAGGGGTGGGAGGGGCACGAAACCATGTACATAGTATGGGTTTCCGATACCCTCCTCGTTCAGGCGGGGCCTCCCTGGAGGGGTGGAAAACGGGCACGAAACCATGTAAATAGTATGGGTGTCCGATACCCTCCTCGCTCAGGCGGGGCCTCCCGGGAGGGGAGGGAGGGGCACGAAACCATGTAAATAGTATTGGTTTCCGATACTCTCCTCGCCTAGGCGGGGCCTCCCTGGAGGGGTGGGAGGGGCACGAAACCATGTTAATAGTACAGGTTTCCGATACCCTCCTCGCTCAGACGGGGCCTCCCTGGAAGGGTGGGAGGGGCACGAAACCATGTAAATAGTATGGGTTTCCGATACCCTCCTCGCTCAGGCGGGGCCTACCTGGAGAGGTGGGAAGGGGCACGAAACCATATGAATAGTACGAGTTTCGGATACCCTCCTCGCTCAGGCGGGGCCTCCCTGGAGGGGAGGGTGGGGCACGAAACCATGTAAATAGTATTGGTTTCCGATACCCTCCTAGCTCAGGCGGGGCCTCCCTGGAGGGGTGGGAGGGGCACGAAACCATGTAAATAGTATGGTGATACCCTCCTCGCTCAGGCGGGGCCTCCCTGGAGGGGTGGGAGGGGCACGAAACCATGTAAATAGTATGGTTTCCGATACCCTCCTCGCTCAGGCGGGGCCTCCCTGGAGGGGTGGGAGGGGCACGAAACCATGTAAATAGTATGGGCCATGTATGGGTTTCCGATACCCTCCTCGCTGAGGCGGGGCCTCCCTGGAGAGGTGGGAAGGGCACGAAACCATGTAAATAGTACAGTTTTCCGATACCCTCCTAGCTCGTGCGGGGCCTCCCTGGAGGGGTGGAAAACGGGCACGAAACCATGTAAATAGTATGGTTTTCCGATATCCTCCTCGCTCAGGTGGGGCCTCCCTGGAGAGGTGGGAAGGGCACGAAACCATATACATAGTATGGTTTTCCGATACCCTCCTCGCTCAGGCGGGGCCTCCCTGGAGGGGTGGGAAATGCACGAAACCATGTAAATAGTATGGTTTTCCGATACCCTCCTCGCTCAGGCGGGGCCTCCCTGGAGAGGTGGGAAGGGCACGAAACCATATAAATAGTATGGGTTTCCGATACCCTCCTCGCTCAGGCGGGGCCTCCCTGGAGGGGTGGAAATGGTATTGATATGGGAGGCGGGAGGCGGGAGGGAGAAGGAGAGGATGTTCTGGGAAAACAAGAACCCCCCTCAGGATGTGGGGAAAAAAAGCCGGCCCTGGGGAAAGGGTCGGGGCTTCCAGGGGCCCCGCATGGAAGCAACAGGACGTCAGCTCTCTTGGCACACATCGGGGCTTCGTGAAAGGAGGCTTAGGGATTTCCATGTGCCACCTTTTTACGATGCCCCCGTCTACGGCGCCTGGGGTCCCTTAAATGGGGGCATCGCCAAACGTGGAAATCTGCGTTCCCCGCGCCCCCGTTTGCTGTGCCCCCGTCTCTGGCGCCCTGAACACACAGGCACCAGCTTTGGCCGGGCCCGTCCTGAAACCAGGGATCGGTGCGCACGCCCTCCTGACATAAATTTGCCACACCCGCTCGCACAACACCGATCTTGGGCCCAGGATGGGCCTGGCTAGCGCTGGCGTCGGTGTGTAATTGTCATGCTCCGAAGACCGCCACGAGCGCCCGTGGCGACGAAACCGCTCGGGAGCAGGCCACGCACGCCAGCCCCGATCAGGGCAAGGCCGGCAGCGCCACGCAACGTGCTCATGCTGCCCATGCTGCCGCGTGCGGGCGGGCGACGGAAAACTGTGGGACAGGGCTGCGTACAAAACGCCTTCTTGAGCAAAAAACTGGATGAGTGCGGGGAGGGAGAAAGAAGATAGATGACGAGTGAGAAAAGTCGGCAAGAGATAATAGGAAGCGAGGAGGAAGGGTTGTAACAAGGATGAGGGAGGAGGGAGACCGGGCAGGGGTGTGACCAGGAGAATGGATTCATGGAGGACCTCCCAGCGAGGTGAGGCTGCGGGTGCAGCCCCTGTAGCAGGGAGAGGCGTGACCACTCGAGAGGAGACGCCGGACGGGAGGGGGGGGCAAGATGTCTGCAACACCAACGTGTCCAACACCACCTCGTGCACCTCTAGCCTTGAAGCTTCAGGGGCGTAAGTTGCGAGGAAAACTGAAGCGAGAAGCCCCGCCCGTGTTACCGAAACGTTGGGGCGTGTGACTGTGAGGAGCTGTTTACCAGGAAAAGGGTTGTAAGGGAAGGGGGGCACAGGCAAAAAGGGCGAGGAGGGAGGAGGAGGAAGAGGAGAAATGAGAGGTTGAAGGCCGAGTCGGGCTCTCGTTTTTTCCTCCATACAAACAGCTGAACTACAACTCCACACTGCACACTGTCAACTACAATGCGATTCGCAGAGTCGGAAGGCAAACCGGGTGCAACCCACGAGCCGACTTGCGATGATACCCTTCTAGGCGGGGCGCATCGTTTTACGTATCCTCTGGCCTGCAGCCGGCGCAGGGTGCAATTCGTTATCATTCACAGGTTGGGCTCTCGTTTTGAATGGAGCGCTGCGGTCTCCGTCCTCCCCCCATGCCTCTCTTCTCCTCCAACTCCTCCTCCTCCTCCTCCTCCTCTCCTCCTCCTCCTCCTCCTCCTCCTCCTCCTCCTCCTCCTCCTCCTCCTCCTCCTCCCTCCAACGAGAACCCTAAGAAGGCCCAACTAAAATGGCCGAAGAGTCTCCCATAACGGCCCCAACATGGCCCAGGAGGAGCGCCCCAAAATAGTCCCCAAAGATCCCCCAAATGCCCAAGCTGGACAAAAGACTGTCCTCGTCAGCCCAAGAGAAATGGAATTACCCCCAAGAGGCCCCAAAAGGAACCCAAGAGGCCCCCAGGAAGACGCCAAGTAGACCTCAAGAGGAATACGAGCAGGACCTGATAAAGGAGAAGAGGGACGAGGAGGAGGCAAGGGATGAGTAAGAGGAGCAAGGATCTGTGGAGGTTGATGGGATGGGCGCGGAAGAAGAAGAATAACAGCAGAAATCGATGCGGATGGATGCGGCGGGATAAGCAAACCGACGAGGAGGAAGGGGAGCGGGCAGTCGCAACGACCAGACTTCACGCGTCCTGACGCGCAACGCTCGAAGCTAAGTCCAGGAGGGGGGGGGGCGTCTGCCAAGGGCTCAGACATGCGTGCATCTGATCTGTCATTATGTGTTCTTCTATATTTCTTTACATATACATATACATATATATATATATATATATATATATATATATATAGGCGCGTTTCACGGGCGCTTGCCTTGGGAGCGATTGGCGGCGCGTTTCGAACCGGGGGGTGGCCCCCCCCCCAACACTCGGCGCCGTCGATCGGGGGGGGGGGGTCAAAACCCTTTCTCCCCCACCCCGGGCGCTGGCGCCAGCGCTGGCGGCGGCCAGCCGCGCCGACGGCGGGGACGCAGCGACGATTACCACCACCACTATCACCACCACCACCACTACCACCAGCACCACCAACACAACCCACCACAACCACCACCACCAACACACCACACAACCACCACCACCACCACAGCCACCACCACCACCACAACCACCACCACCACAACTCACCACGACCACCACCACTAAACCCCACCACCACTACCACCACCACCACAATCTACCACACCACCACCGCCACAACCACAACCACTACCAGCAGCACAATCCACCATTACCACCACCACAAACCACCACACCACCACCTTCACCACCACCTTCGCCACAACCACCACCACCACCTCCACAAACCACTGCCACCACCAAAACCCACCACCACCACAAACCACCAAACCACCACCACCGCCAAACCACCACCACCACAACCCACCACCACCACCACCACCACACCACCACAACCAAACCCCATCCACCAACAACAACAACAACCACCACAACCACCACCACCACAATAACCCACCACACCACCACCACCACAACCACAACCGCCGCCACCACCACCACAACCCACCACTACCACCACAAACCACCACACCGCCACGACCGCCTACAGCAACAACCACCTGAACCACCACCACCGCAACAAACCACCACCACCACCGCCACCACCACCACCACCAATCCACCATCACCACCATTACCACGACCACCACCACAACCACCACGACAAACCACCACACCACCACCGCCACCGCCGCCACCACCGTAACCCACCAACGCCACAACTACCACCACCACCAGAAACCACCGCACCACCACCACCGCCACCATCACCACCACCACCACAACCTACCTCTACAACCACCATAACAACCACCACCACCACCACCAACCACACCACCACCACCACCACCACCGCCACCACCACCACCACCACCACAACCACAGCCCATCACCACCACCACCACACCCTCAAAGAGGCCCCAAGGGATACCCAAGATGCGCCCAGGAGGTTGCACAAATGCCTTTCAAAGGACCCCGAGAGCCCTCCCACGAGACCCCAAGAGGCATCCATTAGGATTCTAAAACCAAGACGCGGTGGCGGAACGTCGTAGTCGCCGTCATCGTCGTCGCCGTCGTCCTCGTCGACGCTTCCCGCCGCCGCCCGCCGCCGCAGTCTCCGGAACCGGCCCAGCAAAAGAAATCGTCGTCCCCGCCGCCGCCGCCAACCGCCGCCGACGCAGGCGCCGGCCCGAGGAGAGGGAGAGACGAGAAGTAGGGGAGGAGGAGGGGGGAGGGGGGGGTGTCGAACCCCCCCCTTCATTCAGGGGGGGGGGGCGTCGGGTGTCAACCCCCTCCCCTCCAAGCGACCACAAAACGCGCTCTGTCAAATATCTATGTGTATACATATCAGATGAGGAGGACGGACGGTCATTCATTGTCCTTGGGTGCGTGGCTCTAGAGGGGATCCGTGATGAGGAATGTGCGTTGTTGTTGTTGCTGTTGCTGTTGCTGTTGCTGTTGTTGTTGTTGGTGTTGTTGTTGCTGTTGCTGTTGCTGTTGCTGTTGCTGTTGATGTTGTTGTGCTGTTGTTGTTGTTGTTGTCGTTGTCGTTGTCGTTGTCGTTGTTGTTGTTGTTGTTGTTGTCGTCGTACCCCCTTGGACCCACCCCGCGACCCACCCGCGACCCACCCCGCGACCCAACCCGCGACCCACCCCGTGACCCACCCCGCGGCCCAGCCCGCGACCCACCTGCGACCCACCCCGCGATCCACCCACATTGCTTCAACGAAAAAATCGGCGCATGCGGCGGGCTCAATGCATAATATGGAAAAAGTTATGCGCCTGCGGCGGGCTTCTTCAGAGCCTCGCAGACTGACGACGTCCTCGCCGCCCCCAACTCTTATCCGCAACTGCGGGGTGCTACGTCGACCTATATATATATATATGTGTGTGTAAATATACACGCTGGTGGATATACATGCATGTATACAGTCGAATATCTGACCATGTCTGTCGGTAAGTCAGAGTGAAAAGGCCAAGCGGTCATGAACTGTCCCTGGGCGCATGGCTGAAAAATGCTCCGTCGTCGTCCCACCCGCGACCCGGCCCGCGACCCGTCCCGCGACCCATCCGCGATCCGCCCGCGATCCACCCGCGACCCACCCGCGAACCAACCCGCGACCCACCCCGCGACCTACCCCGCGACCCGCCCGCGACCCACGCGCGACCATCCCGCCCGCGACGTGGCCCGCGACCCAGCTCGCGACCCAGCCAAAACCCACACGCGACGACCCACCCGCGACCCACCCGCGACCCGCCCGCGACCCATCCGCGACCCACCCGCGACCCACCCCGCGACCCACCCCATGACCCACCCGCGACCCACCCGAACCCGCGAACCAACCCCGACCCCACCCCGCGACCTACCCCGCGACCCGCCCGCGACCCACGCGCGACCATCCCGCCCGCGACGTGGCCCGCGACCCAGCTCGCGACCCAGCCAGAACCCACACGCGACGACCCACCCGCGACCCACCCGCGACCCGCCCGACCCACCCCGCGACCCACCCGCGACCCACCCGCGACCCACCCACGACCCGCCCGCGACCCACCCGCGACCCACCCGCGACCCACCCCACGACCCACCCCACGACCCGCCCGCGACCCACCCGCGACCTACCCGCGAACCACACGCGACGACCCTCCGCGACCCACTCACATTGTTCTAGCGACAATAACCTGCGCCTGCGGCGAGCTCGTTGTACAATCCCACCAGCACTCTGGGCGTTGGTGGTCTAGAGCGTTTCCTCTTCCACCTCCCTTCTTCCCTTTCGGGGAGGGGTTTATCCCTCCCCCTACCCCCTCCCCTGGACCTGGACGGGGCGCCCCGCGAGCGGTCAGTGCGTCCAAGATGGCCCAAGATTGCCCCAAGAGGGTGCCAGAGAGCCCAAGATGAGCTCCAAAATGGCTGAAGATAACGCAAGATGCCTCGAGATTGGCTCCCAATATGCTCCAAGACGCCCAAAGACAATTCCAAGACGTCTCTAAGATGCCAAAAGAGCTCCTCAAGGATGCCCCCGAGAGGCCAACATCTGTCAAAATCCCCGGGAAAATCAATGCCTGTTGCTTTCTCGCCTTTCCCCTTTCCGATGGCCATTCGAACATAGCTCCAAGATGGCCCAAACGAGCCCTAATAGGGGCCAAAGGGAGCCCCAAGTCGACCCCAAGAGCGCCCAACAGCGCTCCAAAAGCGCCCCAAGAACACTCAAGAAGGCGACTTGGGGGGCCCCCGAAGGGCGAGGCTAATTAAGGGACCCCCCTTCTTGGAGC